GGTTCCGGGGGAGTCCAGCATCTCATAAGCACAGAGTAAGCAGCCTCAGTGCCAGTTTTTGGTTCCAGCTAGGCAGGCAAAGCATCCGCTGCCTTTCAGCCTCTGCCATCCAGCCTTACAGAGCGGCGAGGTGGAAGGTGTCCAGGAAGGAGCGGTGCCTTTCTCAGCCCGGTCCCGGACAGAAGCAGACAGAAGGAGACTTGCAATTTGCTGCAATTTGCGTCCGATGGGTTGTGCCTCAGCGCTGACGGAGGCACAGCCTTGCAGAGCTTCCAACCGGCTGCCCTTCTGGCACATCCTAGAAAATACATTTATGTAAGTAAAACAGATGTCCAATAATATTTAAGTGATATATTTACACACTGCCCCTACCAACAGCCCACACCGAGACCCTGATCCTCCCACCCCGTTCCGCTCATACAGCTAAAGACTAAATTTGTACCTAAATTTGGGGGGTTTTCTTGACAACTCTGCCTGTGCTGGGAATATGCTTTATTATCACACGTGCGAACAGCTGCAACTTAGTCCTTTAACTCCGACATTTTAGCAGTATTTTTGTTATTGTTTGTGGTTGTTATCGAGCGTACTCAGAAAGCCCCTGATTTTTAACACCAGGACTGAACAGCCTGTGGCATGTATGCTGGCCACATGCTTCAGTAGTGCCTGCCTGGGTTAGAGGCAGCTGCAGCCTTTTACTTTCTATGAAACAATCTTCTGTGGGGTTTTTTTGTTGTTCTGTTGTTTTGGTTTTTTTTAATTAAAGCTTGCAATTCATTCACGTGACCTCCTTCGACACTTACAGCAATTCATATACTGATAACCACTCACCTACCTCCAAGAGACCCAACGGCTAGAGTTACTCTGTCACAGTAAATTTCAGAAGCGCACAGAGGAAAGCAATGCCCTCCCAACTTTGTGAATTCTAGCTGAACAGCTGCAATCTTATTTTTTTTTTCCCGCACAGGCTGGTTGGCTGAAAAGAGTCAAACCTGCTGGCGTAGTCAGATAACGTATACGTATGCTGTAGAGAAAACAGCCATAAAAAAGAGGGTATGGGAGCTCCTTACACAAAATGCTGTGCCCCTTCAATGCTGAATTAAGCCAACTGGAGTGTCTGGTTGAAATAAAAAAAAAACAAACCCAAACTATTGATACTGTTGCCCAAATACAGACTATGATGAAAGAAGCATTTTCAAATCAAATATGCTGAGTAATGCATTTTGTCCTAAAAAATTCAACTGTCCATTTTACATCTACTGCAGACGGGCTTTGAATGAGTTACCTGGCCTGGATCAGTGGGCTTCAACCTTAATTTCCAATGGGTGATCAACCTGCACGGGCTTACAGGAGGATGCTTGTTTCAGCCTGTCAGGGATGCATTGCAGATTTCGATTAAAAGCAGAGGGCATATCCTTGCATCCGCAGCTTGCAGCTGATTTTCAATTCCACAGGAGAAGGAAAGTGATCTTCTGTTCTTCCAGCACATCTTTCCTGGTGTTGCTAGCCTAACTGGCAGCTAGAAAAGCTACTTCTGGGGAAGTTCAAGCAACAGTTATGCGTATTCCCCTTAACAGTGCCACATACAACTGGAATAACACATGGGAATGGAGCCAACGTTTGTTGCTGCCTCTCCAGCCAAAAGAAACTATGATGAGACCTAGATTTTACGCTTCCAAGACAATGCCAGCACCTCCAGAATATGTGTGCGCACACGTACATGCATGTGCACTCCCACCTGTATTTCGGGGTTCTTAACTTGAAAAATGGTAGGTAGCTTTCCCGCTCGATCAGCAGTGAAAAGCTGCCTTCATTTCAAATTCTCCGCTTCTCCTCCAAAGCCCTGACGTCCCGCTGCCCTCGAGCTCAAAGGCCGGGATCGTGTCTTTGGGGAGATTTCCCTGATGAGAAAGGGAACACAGCATCAAACTTCCACAAAAAGATGGGTCCCCAACAGAGAGTTAGCTTTAACAAAACCCTCCGCTTTTGTTTCTGCAGCCAGCAGAGATTTTTGGGCTTTTGTTGCCGCTTTTTAGCCATGCTATTGTTTTCTAGGTGATGTTTGTGCCAAGTTGTTTGGAAAGATGCCCTATCACTGCACTGACCGATTAGAACTAGGTGTAAAGAGGGAGAAGCAAGAGAAGAAAAAACAAAATTAAATCTCTTTATTATGGTGCATAAACCTTCAGTGTTGGGGAGCTGGGCAGCTGCGCAGGAAGAAAAATGCATTCAAAAATATAATGCTAGTGTGAATAATCCTTTCTCGAATGCTGCTTGCAGACTGCTTCAGCTTTGTCAGGTGAACTTGAACTGGGCCATCAGATTTGCTGCCGTTCCCATTGCACACTGCCTATCACCCCGGGGCATTCACCATCTTGACTGTTGTTAAAAGCGAGCAAACAATCCATCATTGAGCCGGGGAGTCACTCGCTCATAGAAAAGTAAAATCGGCATGTGACGGTACACTCGGCCCCAGTGTTTCGCAGATTAAAGTGATACATGAAAACTCACGTGTTACTGGGAAGATTAAGTCCGTTATCTTGTTCTGCAGCCAATAAAGGACGGCCTTGTCTGCAGCAGTGGGGAAACGCTGGCTTTAACCAAGTGACAAACGCCGTGCATACATAGCTTCGTGCTCCGGCAAAAGAGCGCGCCGAGCTCTAAAGAGGAAACAAAGCTAGTTAGCAAGATCTCGGGAATTAATAGGCAGCAGAGATGCTGTGTTAAAGCTTCTCTGCAGAGGCTTTCCCTTCTCTATAGAGACAATTAAAAGCAAAACAAAACCTCCCGGACAATCTCTGCAGAACAAAGTATCCTAATACGCTGCCAACAGCCGGCCCCGTGGTGTCTGCTGTAATAGCACATGCAGTTTCGAGACCCCTGAGAAGTAATGCCTTTTCCAGCTTATGCCTCGTGTTCAAAGAAAGAAAAAGAAAATATATTTAGCTATGCTCCTGAATAAATCGATCTGTGGGAAATTTTAATATTTTGATTTCTTCCTAATATTTGCATTTAGCAGCTCATTTCTTTTGTTGGTTTGTAGCATACATTTTACCATCTCAGCCAAACTTAGGGCTGCCCAGTTAAAAGTTAGTATCAAGTATCAGCTTGTCCAGTTCCCTGTTAAAACAGACATCATCGTATTTAACCCCGTAGCTTTTACTGGTCTTACTCTTCACAGGCTTGGGCACAAATTCAGAAGTATCAGTCCTTCACAAATGCAGGCACTCTGTCTTCATCCAGGACTTGGATACTGGAAATCCTGGATCAACATGCTCTATAATCTCATCGCCTGAAGAACTTAGACACATACGCGACGTGGCCTGAAACACACAGAACTTAAATTCCCGGTTCATATTTGTGGTATAAATAGGTGATTATAGGGGGAAATAAATAGTTGACTCAGACTGGTGATGGAGCATTTAATATTTTGGGTGGAAGTTTCATCTTAGAGCTACTGACCAAAAAAATTGCTGTTCTGCTATTTCCTCCGGTTTCAGAAGAAAGTCATTTGAACCAACCAAGACTTAGGGAGTACTTTTTTCTTTTTTTTTTTTTTTTTTTTTTTTAAATTCAGTGGTTTATATTAAGTAACTTGCTACCAAGGGTGCTTTTTGGGCTTGATTAATTGTAACACACTCCACCGTAAGAGCTCAGTATGACCATTAAGAGCCAGTCACCCTGTGGTCTCTACAAAATGAGCGAAACTGTTGTGCTGGTACAGTGAAATATTACCATTAACTCTAGGGACATAAAGTCTGAAGAAACATTTCCTCCTCTCGGCTAAAGCAGCCAATTCAAGGACTTGAGTTTACACCCAGTGTAAGTGCTGCAGTAAGTCAGGCACAAAAACGTCCTGCTCTTGACAAGGTGATGACACGCTTTCCTGTCCTTCAGGGAAGATATTTAGCTAAAGAGGTTTTTCCCACTTAACCGTTCTGCAGGTATCCAGGTGGAAGGCAGACGTCTCGTTTGCTGTGTGTTGTGTACTCATGCATAAAAGTTAGTAAATTTGATATCGAGAGGAACAAGTTGATGCAACCAAAGCCTACTAACCACAGGCAGAATGATTTTCTCGCTCTTTTGCCAATACCTAACGTCACTATGAAGCACTTTGGGGAACTTCTCTTACGAAAGATGCAGTGTAAAAGGGAGATCCTCGGTTATTCTGACAATGCAAGGCTGAGCCAGGCTTGCCTCCGTCC